AGCGGCAAGCGGAATTCCTTGTCGGTGAAGTGCATCGCTTCTCGGGTGGGCGGAGGTTTTCTCGGGCGCGAGCGCGTCGCTTCTCGGGGGCTCTTCTTCCAGCTTCGGGGTGCCCTTCTTTCCGGCAGCCCTGCGCCTCGCCGAGAGAGCGAGCCCGAGGGGCCCGGCTCGTCCCGAGCGGCCGCCGCAGGCCCGAGATCTTCGATTACGTGTGAGAGTGACCCTTCGCTGGAGTGGCCTTTGGTGCGGGCCCACGGGGCACCCCCCCCAAGCGCCGAACGCGGTACGATAGCAGCGTCTAGTGCGCTCGTGTTTGGCCCCCCCGCTGGCCCGAAACAGCCGCGCACCAGAGGTCACTCTTGCCTAGGGTCGCTCTTGCGTGTGGCCGAGTGGCCCGGGGAGGCCACCCATCCTCGCAGGCTTCAGTCGGGCCTATCCCTCTACAGGGGGGATATTGAAAAATAGGTCTAACGAAAAATAGTCTAGGGACAATTTGGTTTTCCCTTTTTTGGAACATTGTTGGGGCCTTTGGGGAGTATCTTTTATTTTTCATGCCAAATCCGCCTGTAGGGGGACATGCCCGACCTATAATCGCAGACCTCCGGCGCGCTGGAACGAAGCAGTGCGGAGTTCTCTCGCCCCGTGGTCCCGATCCCCGGTCGTCCCTCCCCGAGGGTTCCCCAGATGACGCGATGGGAGGCTTCCGAACCGCATTCGGGGCGTCGAGGGGCTAGATTCGGAGCGGGTGCGCGGCCGTCGCAGGCAGGCTTCGAAGCAACGATTCGGGCCAAGGAGGGGCACACTGGGACGTTTTCGGGAGCATCTCAGGGGCATCCCAGGGCCTTGTCAGGGGCTTCCCGCGAGCTTTTCTGGGGGCCCCCGGTGTCCCCAAGAGGCCAGCAATCTCCCAAAACTTCCCGCGTCAATCCGAAGGAGGGAGAAGGCCAGAGTGAACTCCTAGATGCGCCAGCAATCTTGCAATCCACCCTCCCGTCAAGAGTCCCTTCATACGTACCTACAAGGTTTCCTTGTCACTACGTGGAGCGCAACCCATGAAGGACCAGCGCCACCTGCGCGTGTGGAAAAGGACCAGCGTAGCACACCTTTGACGTAGAATCAAGAGTGCGAGAAGTATGGCCACACATTTCAGCAAGATCTCCAGCGAGATCCTTCTATCGACAACTGCCGCCCCCACACGTGCACTTGTTGCACAAGTTCGCACGTGCGGCCTTGAACCCCGAAGCAGTCCCTGGCGAGAGCTCCATTTTAAAGAAGAGCCGCCATCGATCCCTACCGTATGGGTTTAAGTTCCGGATCTTCAAAGTTCAGGGCCTCCCGAGCGATATCCCCATGTTGAAACAGAAGCTTCATCCAGCTATCGAACCGCCGCCAGCAGTTAAGAAGACTTCTCGCGGCGCTACGGTGAGAATGCAAGTTTCAACACGACCTGAGCTCCATCCCTGCAACTGCTGCGCAGTGTAAGACAAATGCGCGTGGTTATAAGGCGAGGGCCCGTCTTTGAAAAAAGGAGCCACCCTCTCTTAAGTTGCTGCAGCCTCGTCAGGCTATGCGCGCGGCGCCCAGGCGAGTGCTCTATTTTGAGAACACCCCCCCCCCTCGAGCCAAACTTCGGAGACGAATGTGCACCGCGAAAAAGCGAGATTCCCATGTTGAGAACTTTCCTCAGCCATCCCCGAATGTGCTGCTATCGTTTGACCAAAAGATGCGCGGCGCTAAAGCTAGAACCACGGTTTGGAAAGCAGCCGCTTTCCATCCGTGGAACTATTGAAGTTTATTGTGACGAGTGTTCGCCGCGCGAAGGCGGGGGGCCACTTTGAAAATTATCCCCCGCCCATCCTTGGAATTGCGCGCGTTGCCAAGGCGAGACCTTTCCCAGAAAGCTACCACCCCGATCCATCCTCGAAGCCGTTCACACTGCTCCAGACGAGTGTGCACCGCGCTGTGGCGAACGCACCTGTGGGACCACCCCCTCCGTCCATCCTTGAAACTTCTGCAGTCGTCTGAGACGAAAGTTCGCGGGAGAGCTTTGTGTAAAGAAGCGACCCGCCTCCATCTTTGAAGCTGTCGCGAGCGTCAAGCTTCCGGATCAGAAGTGGCGCGGCAGTCTGCAGCGAAGCGCCCGACCATCCCTCCTACCGACACGTCTATATGGTGCGACAGGGAGAAGTCAGATTGATGGGGACAATAAGGGGAGGAGGAGGAAGAGGAGGAGGTGGAGGAGGAGGAGGAGGAGGAGGGTGCGGAAGAAGAGGATGAGGAGGAAGGCTTCTTGCCGGCGCTGTTGGACAAGGCTTAAGTGGGACGTATCCCTCTGCAGGAGAGATATTCGAAAATAGTCCAGATCTGGTCGGGGGACGAATGTTTATACAATTTGTAAGGTATTTCTAACTTTCGTGCAAGATCCGCCTGTAGGAGGACACGCCAGACCTAAGACAAGGCTCCAGATCCTCCGCGTCGTGAAGAGGTCACGACATGAGCGAGCTGGTTTGTCTCGGGGGCAATGTTGAAGTCGAAAGCTGGGAATTGCCGTTCGGGGTCCCCGTATTGACACCTCTTCCGGGCCCTTGTGTGCCCCGATTGGGCTGGTTTAGTTGGCTTTGTGGGCCGCCTTGGGTTCTCGCGAGGCCGAGAAGCAGAGAATGGGAAAAACATGTGACAAACGACTGCTTGTCATTAAATGTTGTCTGTCAGAGGCTGCCAAGGGAGCCCCAGGACGGCATCAACAGAGGGCAGCTGCACACGACTGGCAGGCCCAGGCCTGGCCGGGGCAATCCTGTGCGCCGGGATAGGGGAGGAGGAGGAGGAGGAAGAGGAGGAGGAGGAGGAGGAAGGGGGAGGAGGAAGGAGGAAAGAGGAAGGAGGAAGGAGGAAGGAGGAAGGAGGAAGAAGGAAGGAGGGAGGAGGGAGGAGGAAGGAGGAAGGAGGAAGGAGGAAGGTGGAAGGAGGAAGGTGGAAGGAGGAAGGTGGAAGGAGGAAGGAGGAGGAGTAGGAGGACAGGAGGAGGAGGATGACAGGAGGAGGAGGAGGAGGAAGAGCTGGAGGAGGAGGAGGAGGAGGAGGTGGAGGAGGAGGAAGAGGAGGAGCAGGAGGAGGACAGGAGGAGGAGGCGGCGGAGGAGGAGGCGGAAAGGGAGAGATGGGAGGAGTGTGCGGACCCTCCCGGCCTGGACCCGGAGGGCGTGTGCACCGTGCCAGGGCCCAGGATGGCCCTAGCCAGGCGTGGTGGTCCTGCTGCGTGGCCCCCAAACGCCAACGGCTTGATCTAAGTCGTGCCTGTCCCTCCACAGGCGGAGTATTCAAAAATAGCGAAAACATGGTCTCGGGGCGCTTTTTTCTTGCTGTACCACTCTGGCATCTTTTTCTGGCATATCTTATGTCTCGTCCAAAGCCCCCTGTGGGGGGACATGCCCGACCTGACACCAACGTCTTGATTCGTGCAGCGCGGGGCCCCCGGAAGTCCCGGCCCGTTCCCCAGGGCCCGAGCTCTTTCCTGTGGCGGGCCCGGTGGGCCGATGAGGACCCCCAGAGGCCAGGTGACGTCGAGGAGGCTCCGTGCAGCTGCTGTTCCGTAACGCCGCGCGGGCGATAAGAAAGTACCCCCCTCCCCCCCTAAGGGTCTCTATGTTTATTATCCCTGGTCAACAGGATGTAATTGTGGAGAAGGGCGCGGAGGCCGACCTTTTTAGTCCACGGGGGAAGTTGCGAATCGAAGTTGCTACCTTCTCATGCGGACTAGCAACAGCATCAAAAACGCTGAGCATGGCCATGCGGGAAGTCCCCAGGCATCCATCCTCTGATGTGATTCCAGCTGCGGCTCCAGAGTTAGGTCGGGCATGTCCCCCTACAGGGAGGTCTTGGACGAGAGATCGAACGTGCCCAAAAAGAATTCCAAAACGGCTCAAAAGAGTCAAAAATCGTCCCCAGGCAAGTGTTTGACTATGTTTGAATAATCCTCCTGTAGAGGGGTAGGCCCGACTTAACCCCAGAGCTCCTGACCCCTTCCTGGGGGTAGTTTCTCGTCCTGGACATATGCTGTCTTGTCCTGGGGCCCGCCAACTCAGGGAGCAGAAACCGTACAGCATAGTCCTGCCCTTCTGTGTTAGCCAGGCACGCTCTTGCAGATATCGACCGACTGGGCTTTGCGAGCATACGGGCTGTCGCAGTGTCTGCCGATCTCCTCCTCGAGCCGCACAGGGCGCGAGCGCTGTCAAGCGGCGCCGGCCCGAGGTTTCCTTCGCCCCAGGGTCGGGGGCGGGACCTGCGCAAGAGCGCCCGCCTGGCCTTTTCACAACTCGCGAGGGCCAGATCGGGTGGGGCCGCCTGGGCCGACCGACCCCTGAGCAGTTTGTACGCAGCTTGCGTTCGTGTGCGGCTGCTGCGTGTTCTGGAGGTCTAAGCTTTTTCTGGCCCCAAGGGGTCTCGAGTGGTTCTTCGACCTTGTCGCTATTCAAGGGTAGGGCTGGTTTTGCTGGACTTCGGCTATGTTTTGTTTTCCGCTTTGGCAGGGAAGGTACAAGAAAACATGTGAAGCAACACGAAACACAAAACGACAACACAACGAAAAACAACGTTTAGGTCTAGCCCTGCTTGTCGTTATTCAAGGGTATCAACTGTTGGGGGTCCCATCGTGGTCGTCCACCGAGCGCGCGCGCCATTGGCGGACGCCGCGAATGCCTGGGGCCCAGCATTCGGTGGGGTGGCGAGTGAGTTCGACTCGGCCTTCTGGCCTTGCAGCACGCTTCCCTGGCCCTTGCTTCGCCATGGAGCGAGCGGTATTCTCTTGCCCCGATGGGGCGACCTCCGCTGCCATTGGCACCGGAGGGCCCCGGGGAGGAGCACTGGGCGACGGCAAAAAAACAAAGCCCGTTTGATGTTGCTGCCCTCGGCCCCCGGCGGCGCCGAGGTCGAGGAGAAGCGCCCGCATGGAACAGCAAGAACACACCGTTGGAGAACAGGGTCTGGCTTGGGAGAGGGGGGCGGTCCGTTGCCAGTTTGCCTCGAGCTCGGCTGGGGGGGTTGTGATGGGCGCGCGCACGGGCTCGGGGCCATGGCCGCAGCAGGCGCGCCATGCCGCGGGATCGCGGAGCTCCGGGCCAATGGTGCCGGCAGCCTGGAGGCGCGAGGGCTCTTTCCTCAGACCTCCGGCGATACGGTCAAGACGCTGAGATGAGAACCACTCTGGGCTCGGGAAGGGGCTCTGGTCTGCGGGCCGTTCCTTCGATCTGGGGCGTGGGACGTATTCGTGGCCGGGGCTCGCCGTTTCCAGCAGAGCCCCTTCGTTTCTTGTTCAGCGTTCTTTATGATAGCATTAGGTCGGGCGTGTCCCCCTACAGGCGGAGCTTGGACGACAATTTAAGAATAGTCAGAAAAAAGATACACCCCAAAATATCCAAACATACCAACAACGTCCCCTGAGTTATTCTTAATTATTTTCGGAAGTTCCTCCTGTGGAGGGACACGCCCGACTTCATGGTAGCACGATTTGTTCCATCACGACATGTTTTCAGGGCTTCGGCTTCTGGGGGCCTCCACCGGGCCCCAGGGCGATCTGAGATAGAGCCGCGACGAGGAGCCAGGAACACGAGATGAAGCAACACCCAGTCTGACTTGACTCCGCGATGCCGTGAACCGCGGGCGCCCAGGACCTTTCAGATGCACGAGCCCCGAAGCACTCGTCGCCAGGCCACGGGACCTCCCAAGCCTCGGGCGGGGGCGGCCGGACGCTTCCGGCGCCGCGCGCCGAGCGGCCCCCATTCGTCGCACGCGTGGGGGGCCTCCGCGGGCGCCCGCCGCGCCCTTCGCGCCGCTCCCGGGCCCGAGATTGGTGCAGCCTGGGCCGAGCAGCGGCGGAGCGTCCTGGCTTGTCTGCAGTCGGGGGTGGACAGAACCCCCAACAGTGACACGTCGATTAGTGAATTGTCCGTTTTCGGTTCTCGAGAGGGCGCCGTGGCCGTTATTTTCCAGCCTTGCGCCCACCAGGTTTGGGCCTCAGGTCTTTTTCACTAAACCACGTTTTGCTAAAGGGGGGTCTGTCCATCCCCGATGCAGGCCCACCAGAGGGTGTTCTAAGAATTCCGTGCGGCCTGCACGCGGGCGGGGCTCCTGGAAAGGAGTTCTGGCTGAGGCTGCTCTGTCTCGACACCTCGGGTCTGTGCTCCGAGGACGTCGGAGGTGGATAGACCTCCCACCCTGCGCGTCGATTCGTGAAGTGGCCGTTTTCGGTTCGCGAGAGGGCGTCGCGGGCGTCATTTTTGCGGGTCTAGGTCCCCGTCGGTTTAGGTCCTAGGCCGGTTTCACTAAATGGTGGTTTCTTTAAGGGAGGTTTGTCCACCGCGGAGAGCAGTGTTTGTATTCTTCGAACACTCTTGCGTTCTAAGGGCATTTCGCTGTAGGCTTACCGGCATGCCAGGACGGTCGGTCCCTGCTCAGCTGGGCCCTTTCCGCGCGCCGCCAAAGAAGAGTACGGCGCGAGGCTGTGCGCCGTGCTCGCCCCCGCGGGAGGCCCTCCCGCGGGCCCCCGGAGAGGCGTCCACGGGAACAGCGCGCTCGGAACGAGGAGCTTGCCACGGGGGAGGGGTCCAGACTCGGGAGCCTTGGCACCACTGCCGCTGGGTGCCCTCGTGGCGCCCCAGGGAAATCAGGCGATCGCAAACATGGATCAAGGGGGCGTGGATTAGCGACAGGTCCCGTTTCCATGGGAAAGGCGGCACTGGCCGCATTTTGGGGAGGGCAACTACCCCGATCCATGGATTTGGCGACCGCGCGCCAAATCCATGGATCGCTAATCCATGTTTGCGCGCCCCCGAGAAAACAGGCGGGTTGGAAGCCCGATCGGCACCACAGCATGGCGGGGCTGCGGGAGAGACTCTTGCCCTGTGGTTGGCCAGCCACAGTAGGTGCGGGCCCACCGTACCACCCCTGAGAGGCCCGATGGGGTTATTCGAAGGGGTCCCCCCGACGTGGGGGGCGCGGGAACTGAACTGCTTGGGCAGCGGGGTCTCCGCTGCTTGAGGCCGGCGGCCAAGTGGGGGTGGTGCCGGTGGCCGCGTCTCTGGGTGGCATCTCGGGGCACCTTGCAATGGCGGCGCACATGTGACGCCTGGGGCGGGTCTTTGCCGCCGTTCATGCTGCGAGGTCCGGCGACATGTGAATTCGCGCAGGCACCTTGGGCACCTCCATTCGGGTTGCGTCGCCCAGGTGTTCTGTCCGGGCACAAAACAACATATTCGGGAGCCATGAGGCGGGGGTCAGCGCGAGCGGGGGCCAGCCAGAGCGCCTGATCCTGCAGGATCCTGCAAAGCCAAGGTTGCATTGATCAGAGGAGGAAAAAGTACCTTCACCTCTACCTTTCCCTCGTTCTCCCCTTTCGGCCATCGTCGCCACCGCTGGATTCGCTTCGAAATTCTGGTCAGAACGCACCCCGGGAGAGGTCCGGCGAGCTCCCCGAGAGAGATCCGGTGAGCTACTAGTAGCGCTATCGGTGCCAATTGGGTTTCCCTAATTGACCTGGGCCAACGCGCAGGATCCTGCAAAGCCCGGCCGGCCTGAGTGTGCATCGACCTGGGCCCGTGCGTCTCTGAACCTCCTTCTCCTGCTCCTCTTCCTCCTCCTCCTCCTCCTGCTTCCCCTCCCCCTCTCCCTCTTTCTGTTTCTCCTCCTCCCCGTGCTCCTCATTCTCATCCTCCTCCTCCTCCTCCTTCTCCTCCTCCTCCTCTTCCTCCTCGTCCTCCTCCTCCTCCTCCTCCTCCGCCTCCTCCTCCTCCCGCCTCCTGTGGTGGCCCAAACGGGCGGCCCGACGGCTGCCAGCCCTAAGAGGCCCAGCGTCCTGGAAGTCTTGTCGTCTTTCGGGCTTCGGCTGGCTGAGGCCCAGGCCCGCAGGGCCCGCGGTCTGTCGGGCCCCGAGGACCCCCTCGACCTCTCAAGCGTTGCCCCTGGCGCGGCCGTGCCAGCCGTGCCAGGCTTGGGCTGAGTCTGCCGACGGCTGAATTCGTTTGCAGGACCCTTCTGGGTCGAGTCCAGCCTCCTCCTCCTCCTCCTCCTCCTCCTCCTCCTCCTCCTCCTCCTAATCCTCCTCCCCCTCCTCCAGACCTTTGGGGGCGGTCACGCCGTTGGCAAAAACGCCACTGCGTCGGACGGCTTCGCGTGTGCCTGCCTGGTTCGCGGGTGCAGGAGGGCGCGCGCGACCGATCCGGGGGCCCAGGATGGGCCCTGGCCAGAAGCAACGCGGCGTACAACTTGCGTCCTCCCGCTTGTCGCCAACCTCCTCTTCCTCCTCCTCCTCCTCCTCCATTTCTTCCTCCTTCCCCTCCTACTCCCCCCTCCTTCTCCTCCTCCTCCTCCTCCTCCTCCTCCTCCTCCTCCATTCCTTTTACATTTAAGTATTTTCTCCCTGGCGCACCCTGGGCCAGTTGTTCAGTACGGGACTTCTTCTTCTTGCATGACCCTGAAGCTTAACGACGGGCAACAGCTTCACTGATGGAGGGCGGGCCGTTTTCAAAATGTGGCTATCGTTTCAGCGCTGTGCACTTTTTTGCTTTAAAATGTGCAAGAGCTTCACGGATTGAGGGCGGTTCCTTTGCAACATGTGTCTCTCGCCTTGGCGGCTTAGCGCCGCGTCCGTTGTAAAGCATTACAATACTTTCACGGATTGAGGGTGGTTCCTTTTTCAAGTGTGGTTTTCACTTGAGCGCCGTGCACATTCGTTTTAATGAACTGCACGAGTTCCACGGGTTCCCATGACCAGCGTAATTACCAAGACTCATGTTTTGGAAGGGCTCCCGATTATGAGGGCGCAACAGGTACGTTGAATCGCGGCGTTGAAATCCCAGGAATGCCGTTCTGGCATGGTTCTGGATCGTGAAGACGCAACAATCAGGTTGACCCGTGGATTGAATCCAGAGCGCAATGTTCTGGCATGGTCTTCAAAAGGTTGTCTTCCAACGAAGCAGTTCCCACTATGAACATGAACTGTTGTAGGGGCCTATGAAGAGGGAGCTTGGAGGAAGGGTTTATTCCAACATCGTGAGTGACTCTTGGGATTACACTGTTCCTTCTCCTCCTCCTCCTCCTCCTCGGGCACCTCCCCGCGGCAGAAGACGACGACGAAAACGACGAAGACGACGACAACGACGACGCTACTCGTTCCACAAGGGGCCAGAAAACCCGGGCAGGCAGGCCCACGACGGTAACGCCAGGGCTGCATCCATATTGGCATGCAGAGATCGCCTCCTAGAACGGCGGGCAGCTGACGCATGGGATCTCCGACCCGCCCTCACCTCACCTTACCTCCCTCCCCATCTCCACCGCCACCGCGCTCTCCCTTTGCAGCCTGTCGTGTGTCTGCTCTCCGTGTCCTCCTCTCCCCCGTTGGTAGAGTCCCCTTCCCAGCAGCCGGGAAGCTGGCGGTTCTCATCGTCGTATCCAAAAAGATGTCCCTTCGCTTCCCCCCTCTGCCGCCGAGGCCCACGAGGATCCTGGCGGGACGGAGTGGGCGGACTCCGCAGAGATTCGGCTCTTCCTGAAGGAGGGATACCAGTCGGCCGAGCAGCCGCCGTGCGGCTGGGGCGCCGAGCAGCTGGTTGACGAGGGGCAGCGACCTGCGGACCAGAGGCCGTGCCATGATGTCAGAGGGGGCGCTTCGACATCGGCTGGAGCGTTCGGCTCCGCAGCCAGGTCCAGCAGGGCAGCGGGCGGTGCAACCCCAGCCTTGCCGCTCCCCGCTCCTGCGGCGGGGCGCGACGGGGTGATGCTCGCCGCCGACGAGGCAATGGAGGAGGCTGCGGGGGTCCGGAGCCGTACGCCCACGAGGGCCAGCAGCCCGACGAGGGCGCGCGAGTTGGACACGGATTTGGCGAGACCGCAGAACCGCAGCGCACGCGAGATTGCGCAGCTTCGGCAGGCCCGCCTCTGCGCAGGCCCAGTCACGCGGGCCGTCCAGAAGCAGACGCAGGCGCAGCTCGTGCCCGCCCTGCCGGCCCCTGGGCCTGCTGAGACAGGGGCCCCCCTGCCGGACCCTCTCCGGAGCCGCCCGCTCACGCGGGCCTTCGCCAAGAGAGCGCAGCTCGGGCACCCAGAGGCGGAGGCCCCCCCGAAGGCTGCCCCTCGGAGCGGTGCGCCCGCGCGGCGGGAGGCGCCCGAGGCGGCTCTGCCAGCGCCGCCTCGGAGCGACCCAGTTGAGCGGCCCTCCCGGCTGCAGATGACGCGCGGGCAGGCCTCGGGGGTGGCGCTGCCTCAGAGCCGCAGCACCGCCAGGGGCGGCCGCCGGGTCTCGCTGGCGGCGGCCGCGGGCGCTCGCGCCGTGCAAGCCACAGCAGTAGAGGCCGCCGCGAGGCTGGCGGGTGGGCACGCCCCTCAAGCGGACTCGGGCGCCGACAGTGGCAGGCCCCCGCGCCCAGTCCGCGCCTCCAGGGCGGACTCGCGCGCCGACAATGGCAGGTTCCCCGCGCCCCTCGCCGCGGCCTCCAGGGGCGCGGCGCCAGCCCGCACCCGGAGCTCAGGACCCGTGCGGCGCCCCGCGGGAGCGGCGGCGGTGGGCCCCCGGCTTCGGTCCGCAGGCCTCAGCGCCCGCTCGGCGAGCCCCAGCGCCTGCCCCGCGAGCACGTCGCGCGCGGGCTCGGCGGGCTCTGGCGCCGCGCCCCGTGCGCGGCGGGAGCGCCAAGAGCCCCAGGGCCGCCCGGCGAGCCGCAGAGCTTGCCCCGCGAGCTCGGGAGCTCGCCCCGCAACGAGCGCCCGCGTCGCGGAGCCGACGCGGGAGGCATCCCGCGGGCTGCGGTCCAGGAGCCCAGGCCGGGCTTCTGGTGCCAGCCGCGCCTGGGCGGGCCCTGGCTGCCCAGCGCCCGCGGGGGTGCACCGTCGCCTGCGGTTCAAGAGCCCAGACCCCCAGGGTTGGCGTCCGAATTCGGGTGCCAGTCGCGCCAGTGTGGACCCTGCCTGCCCGGCGCTCGAGGGGATGCACCGTCGCCTGCGGTCCAAGAGTCCGGATCCTTGCGGCCAGTTTCCGAGTTCCGGCGCCCACTGTGCCTTGGCGGCCCCTGGCTCCGTGGGGGTGCGCCGTCGCCTGCGGTGCAAGAGCCCTGACCCCTGCGCGTGGAGACCAGAGCGCCGCCTGCGGAGCAAGAGCCCAGGCCCTCGGGCGCCGCCGACGAGGCTGTGCCCTGCGCGCTCGAGGAGCCCCGGCCCGCGCGGGGGCGGGCTCGGTGATCCGACTGCCCGGGCGACCGCGGCGCTGCTGCTTGCGCGACTTGCCAGGGCCGGGGCCGGCGCAGGGTCATGAGTGTAAGTCGTGCCTGTCCCTCTACAGGGGGAATCTTCAAAAATAGTCAAAAGATAGCCTGGGGACGATGTTTCTAATATTTGTCTAACATGTTTGATGATTTCTGGATGTATGTTTAAAATGTTTTGTCCAACATCCGCCTGTTGGAGGACACGCCCGACCTAGTCATAGTTTCAGGCCGCAGCGCCCGCGCATGGACGGCAGCGCCTCGCGGCGCCCCCGCCCTTTCGGCGCGCGCGCACACGCCGAGTCGTGCCGCGGCAGGCGGGGCCGAGGAGGCTCACGTCCAGGCCTGAGCGGCGGGCCACGCCGGGCGGGCCCAGCTCTCCGGCGATCGACGACTGGAGGGGGCGCAATAAACGCGGGGAGATCGAGGGTAGAATTCTAGGTCGGGCGTGTCGCTCTGCAGGAGAAGAATTCAAACATTGTCAACAACATGTCAGGGGGCGATGTAATAGTATGTTTGCATATGTTTTGATGCTTGGTTGGGGTATTCTTGATTTCTCGCTCGTCCAAAATCCGCCTGTAGGAGGACACGCCCGACCTAAGGGTAGAAGCCTTGAATGGCCCATACACGGTGTCACCACCGGCCCAAGATGTGCACCAAAGGCGCGCGTTTCTTCTTCCCCCCCCCCACCCGGTGGATGCCTGCCCGTTAACGAACACCCGAGGTCGGATTTTCAGCTGGCGGGCGTTTCTTGATGTCGGCCTTCGGGGGTCCATCGTCGGTCCTGCTTGAAGTACCACCCCCAGGGAAGGCATTGGGAGCTTTGGGGCCGCGGATTGTAAAGCATACATGAGAACATGTCTGGGGCCGTCAACGGGTCGCCCATATTCTGCAGCCGCTCTTCTACCCAGCAACCGCCCCGAGCACCCGCTCAGCGTTGCGGCGCGCCCACGCCTGAGGCCACGGCGAGTTCTTCGTGATCACAAGTTCTCATATGCGCCGCGGGAGCATCTCTTGATGACTTGTGTTTGCCAGTGCACATGAGGCGCACGGCAGTGGCCTTTCCTCCGAGGAGCACTCCGCCCCCAGGTCAGACTTATCCAGAGGTCGCGCAAAGCTTACAGCTTAGCCCAGCTTCGGTCTTGAGGGCAGGTGCTCCAAACAGTGCCTGCATTCAGGGTGTCTTATTTGATTGGAAAGAAGCTCTGTCCCTGCGCGGTCCTTTTCGATTGGATCGATCCGGTTCGATGTCGTTTCCAGCCAGCTCGATCCAGCCTGATTCCGATGTTCCGACGATTTGGTCCGATGCATGCAAGGCGTTGTTTCGTAGCAGGCGCACCAAGTGCGGCGTTCCAGAAAGCAGTTCCGCATGCGGCCAGCCCTCGCCCTCGGCGGAAGCCGGCGGAGTGCCAGCAGACGCCCGCAGGGGGTAAAGCGGCGGCGCTTCCGCCAGCGGAAGCCCGCGGAAGTGCAAGTACGATGTCGACGTTTTCGGACTCGGGGCTGCTGGAGTCGGCCAACCTGAGACTGCCGACTTGTCGGCGGCTGCCCCGCACAGATGTCGTACTTCCCGGTGGCCTGCGCTGCAGGGGGGGCCTTCTTAATAGGGGGTTGCTACAGGTGCCCGTGGGCCAACTTGGCCCAGTGGCACCTTGAATCGGGACGATCGAAAGAAGTACGGAAAGAAGGGGCGCTAAGACACACACAACAGTGCCTGCTCATTTTGAACCATACTCGCTGTCCGCGCCGCTGCGGACCGTGCCCATCTGAGACTGAAGGCCGCCTGTTCAACAGCGGCCGCCGTCGGTTTTGGACAACATTCGTTGTTCGGCATCGTACCCAGTTTTTTCCGTACCAATCTCGGTCGTACACAATGAAGGTGCCCCCAGTTCTTCGCTCCATATTTTTATTTTGGAGCCCCCTCTCCTCAGCCGTGGGGCCTCGTGATGGGCCCTCCTCAGCCGTGGGGGCTTTCTGGCAGATCCTGGGGGCACCCTCGGCCGGGGGCACCTTCAGCAGCATCCGAAGGATTTGGATTCCGGGGGCGCCCTGGGAAGCTCAAAGACTGGCAAGGACGCGCCTCTGGAGGGCGGCTCGTGGCCGGACTTGGGCGGCGGGTAAGGGGGGGAGGATACACGGGGATGCACGGAGGGGCCCTTCAGGGCCCCTGAAGGGGCACTGGAGGGCCCCAAAAGGGGGCCCGAGAAGGGCACCTTCCTTCCCCCCTCCCACGGATCGCCCCCCATGAGTTCGCGCCCAACCGACGTCATCTCGCGCCCGGGGGGGGGGGGGGGTCAGGGGGAGATGTGGCGCGGCGGCTCGGGCGGGACAGGCGTGGGGGACGGGTCGTCAAGCAGGAGATCGGGCAACACCCCTGCTCAGAGGTGAGAGCAGTCTAGGCTAAGATAATGGGCGTCACTCCAAGCATTTTCTTCAACCGTCGCCCATGTCCATGTATTACGAGCATTATTCGAAGAAGAGGAGCTTCAAGAAAACGCTCAGGGTCCAGTCCAGATCTCTGGTTTTTCTTGAGCGAAGTATGGAGTCCATGAGCGTTGTTTTTTGCCTTAAGACTTCTGCCCATCAGAAGTCTTAAGAACAACCGGCGCCTTTCATGTTTTCCAGAATCAAGAATTTGGTTTCGGGCCGTGGGCGTTTTCTTAGTGTTGTTGTTCCGTAAAGCGTTCGTGTATCTGGACCTGGATTGCCGTTAAAAAGCGCTCGGAGTGCAGTCCATGTGCTTAGCTGAAAGAGTTTCGCAAGTTCAAGCAAGGGGTGTACAGAATTGACGCACCCCAGCATTGGCTTCTTTTCATCGGATCAACCACGAATATGTGGAAGGCCCCGTGGATCTACGACGCAGTCTGCGTAGTTGTTGTACACACTGTTCATGTCTATTTCTTTGAAAGTCCTTTGATGTTTGGGGGGGCAGGATCCTTTCATATCTAAGTATTCTACCCTGGGCCTCTTCCTGGCCACTAGGGGGCCCGGACCATTTAGAAACGAGCACAAGTAGAGATGAGCACGATCATAAATGAACGACGTGCAGATTCGGCGCGAGAACAGTCTTGGGGTGCATCAGTGCTGCAGTCGATCTCCTACTCGAGGACTGTGAGGGGGAGGGTCGAAATTGCCCCTCGGACACCCCTCTCGGCGGCACGCCGAGGGGGGGAAATTGCGAGGGAGGCGTTCTTCTCAGTAGGCTCAAGCAGTGGCGAAGCGTCCTGGCTCTCCTTCTCCTCCTCGTCCTCCTCCTCCTCCTCCTCCTCCTCCTCTCACCGAAGACTATTCTAAGAACCTTTCGTGGTCTGCACGAAATGTTCTGAGAACAGTTTTCACTCGGCCAGTACTGTTTTCACACGTCAGGTTTGTGTCCTTAGAACAGCGTTCCTCTCCTTAGAACATTATTGGGTTCTAAGAGCACTTCGTGGTAAGCCTATACGAATGCCTGGACGGTCGGTCCCTGCTCAAAAGGTGTCGGGGCATCTCAGGAGCCCTCCGGCCTTCTGAGAAGTGTTCTGTGTCTTCGGAGAAGGCTTCGAACATCTCACAGACTGCCCGAAGCCTTCGGAGCGTTCCGAGAAGATCCTTCTGCTTTCCTTCTTGGGCTCGCTACTCGCCCCTGGAACCCCTCGCTGGGTCCATCCTGATCCGTTTTTTCAAGGCGGATCCAGCTGTGGCAACGAGGCCCAAAAAGGACACAAAACGCGTTAGGTAGGGCCGCCGTTGTTTCGACGTGGCGTGGGTCCAACCTGCACCGGGGCTCGAACCGAGCGGGGGGCGAAATCTGCTGCATGCAGCTGGTTCCGGAGCCGCCGCCAGGCACACTCCTCGAGGCGCAATGGCTGTCCAACATCAGTTTACAGCTCCAGGGGGGGGGTAACTCGGCATCGGCGCTGCGTCATCTCTATGAGCCCAGTCCCGCCTGCACCCGGCCCAGGCCAGGCTCAATCTGGCGAGCCCTCCGTCTCGACGCGGCCCAGTCGTGATTGTGTTCTTTCTGGCATGCACTCGCCCCCTGATCGGACTACAGCGAGCGGCTTGAGTAAGGAACATTTGCTTTTCAAACTCGGTCGTTCCTTAGTCTTGCATGCGTTATGTATCCTTCCTTTTGCGTGATGTATTATGCATCGTTCCATGTGCGCGATTCCTTGGAAAAAAGAAGGGCTTTGTTTTTATCTATCGTTCCTTAGATCAGGCCGATGACTGTAGTAGTTTGCCTTCGCTCGCTGGCACACTCTCCTCCGTCGCTGGTTTCTGTTCGTGACGTCGGCCCCTGGGCATCCCGATATTTTCCCCAGGGCCAGCCTTGGATCTCGAGCTGTTGCCTGTCAGGGTCTCGAGGCGAGAAGGCGGCCTCCAGAGGCAGAAACAACGACTCTGAAGGAGGAGGAGGAGAAGGAGGAGGGGAGGAGGAGGCGGAGGAGGAAGAGGAGGAGAAGGAGGAGTAGGAGGAGGAGGAGGACGAGGAGGAGGAGGAGGAGGAGGAGGGGGAGCAAGAGGAGTAAGAGGAGTAAGAGGAGCAAGAGGAGTAAGAGGAGTAAGAGGAGTAAGAGGAGGAGGAGGAGGAGGAGGAAGAGGAAGAGGAGGAGGAGGAGGTTTGTCTGCAGCGCCAGGACCTGAGGAAAGGCCTCCAGGGGTTCTGCCTCCTGAGGCTCCCCGGCGCTTCTCCTCGATAGGGTCTCGTGGCCCTTCCGAGCAGCGTGCGGAGCCTGCTCCGAGGACGCGGGCGGTCTCTCCGAAGGCGCGAGGGCCTCGGAGAAGCCCCAGCGCCCTCTGAGAGGGCATGTTCGCTCTCGCTTCCTCCCCTCGGCGTGCCGCCGTCAGGGCTCCGAGGGGCGATTTCTTGATCCTGCCCTCTCCCCTTCCCAGTCCTCGAGTACCCATCGGTCGTTGAGAGGTGGTATTGGTTTGGATTCCCGGACTCCAGTCTACCTCAAGCGCCTTCCTACTTTAATCATCGAGTGTCTTCAGCTTTTCCGTCCTCCTCCGGGGGGCGGGCGGACACCCAATTTGCTGCATGTTCCTACCTATTTCTTCCGACCGATGGGTAATTAGGAGCCCGACTGCAGAATTGATGCGGGCCAGACTTGTTTGGCGCCGAAGCGACGAAAACCCGGCAGATCCGCGGAGTCCCTCTGCGGTGGGTTGATCTCTTCCTCCGTCGGGCCCGCGAGAGCTGCGTCGACGGCGCCGTGAATACACGAAGGGCACTCTCTCTGTGTGTGTTCGCAGGCTCGACACAGGTACAGCTCCCTCCCTCGAGGGGCCTCGGGAGGCCCGGCGGGCGGGTGCCTCACGTGCCCACCTAGGGGCAGCGGCGAGGGGGGCCGCGCGGGGGGCAGCGGCGGTGCGAGCGGGGTGGCTCGGCAGGCTGGCGCTGCGCAGGGACGACGAGGAGGCGACGAGGGCGAGGG